AGGAAGGCTGACATTTTGGGCCTAGACCCTTCTTCAGAAAAACCCATTTTCTGAAGAAGGGTCTAGGCCCGAAACGTCAGCCTTCCTACTCCTCTGATGCTGCTTGGCCTGCTGTGTTCATCCAGCTCTACACCTTGTTATCTCTGGCAGTTAACTGTCAGTCTTCTGCCTAGTGCATTCTCAACAGGAGTGCCTTTGCAAATTTGTTAAAACAATCCACATGCTGTTCCTTTACCTTTGGCATTTTGGTTAATACATTGGCTAGTGCAAGTTGCAAAGATTTGCTAAAATATCTAGCAATACTGCAGTTCTATACTAGCAAGTGATTAAGTGGAACTAAAATTACTTGCATTGATATTGTACTGTACGTGAGCAGAGGGCCAACCAGAACATTTATAGCAAATTAAGTACTCTTGACATTGTAGCAAATGCAACAGCCAATTTGCATGTGGCAAGATCTTGCCAATGGCAGTGTGATGATGATCAGAGTATGTTTTATTTTTAAACCCACTTAAGTACAAGGGATAATTCACTGCTCCCCTTTTACAGGAAGGTCCAGGGATCTTTATTTCAATCTGAACAGAGTGCCTTAGAATGTCTTTTCTGAAAGAGGGCATCTCTAGCAATGCAGCATTCCCTATGCTACGGTGGTGTTTCTGCCCAAGGAGAAAGCAAAGAAGTGTTCATGTATAAAAATGAGATGTCCTTACAATAATCAAATTAGGATTAATTTTGTAAACTTGTTTTAAAGGAAAACTCTTTCTCTACCTCTCCCACTGCTTATTTGGAAATTAAACATTGAATTTATTTGGTCATTTTCACCATTTTCTATATTTAACGGAGATGGTAGCCAGCTTCCAGTTGAAGATGTTTGTTTTGCATCTGAACACCTTGAGCAATTTCGTTTTTAAACTTGATGTAGTTAATTGGAGGAGTTATTGATTAAAGGAACTTGCTGTGCAAGTGAGTTTGCAATCTACCATTGTAACACTGCACTGCTGTTTTTTTAGGAATACTTGAGCCTATTTGTGTCATTTGGTTGTTTGCCAATTTTAATGCTGGATGTGAAAATGGTATTGCTTTTCAAATCAATATAACTGCCTAATAAGGTTGTACATTGGAATTGGAACAAAATACCTAGTCAAGCTGGCATTGCATTCCCTTTTTGGTGAATTGTAATTAAAAGTCCAATTAATGTTATGAGGTCATTTGCATCTATTCCTTTTTTAATAGATGAAAAAATCCACAAAGGAAGAAATAAATGATTTTGTTTTTTTAAGGGTGGTGATGACCTAGATTCCAATTATGTGCTGAGTAGCCGAGTCCGCACAGGACGCAGCATACGTGGCTTCTGCCTTCCCCCTCACTGCAGTAGAGGGGAACGTCGTGCTATTGAGAAACTTTCAGAAGAAGGTAAAGTCAAATGGATGATGTTACTGATTCACTTCACTTATTTTAATCAGAGCCGTCAAAAACATTGGAAAATATTTTTATACTTATTCACAAACATAATCTAAAACTAGTCTTGAGCTCAATTATTTGACAATACAGTCTATAATCAAACCTATTTGGTTTTTGAACTATCATTATTGTCTTTTAATGTTTACTTGCCCCTACTCCTGTGTTCCTGTATTGTATTCCATTTCCCTTGCCTAAGTGTTATGCTTTTCTTTTTTAAAAAAAAAAAAAAATTGTACATTACTTTCTACCCAAAAGTTGATGCTCCTGCTAGTTGAATCCAGTCAGAACATGATAGGTCTTACCTGAAATGGGAACTGGGATAACCGTGTGTCAGTATACTTAAACAAATTCAAGCTGAGCAGTTCTGGCAGATCTAATGTTTCACTTAACTGTAAATACCACATCTATGAAAATGTAACCCACATACTTATCCATTTATGGAAGCGAATGACTGTACTCTGTGCTTGTGACCTCTTGTTTCAAACACTGCAAATTTTAAACACATCGATTCTTGGAATGAAACAGCCAATATATACGAATGTAATAACTGTGTGCCTTGAAACCAAAAAAGAGAATATTCCTCTATGTGAAAAGTCTTTCCTGTAAAGAAACAAGTTTAAATGACAAACTAGTTCTTCAATTGCTTGAAAGCCCTCTAAGATTTGAGCTGTCACCAGATAATAATTTCCTCACATCTGGCAAAAGTGAGTAATATAAAGGTCATGGACCGAAGTACAAATATAGCATGAATGGGTGAATAATAAGCTGTCGGTGCTGCTGACACTCCCTGAAAGCAATAATGTGACTGACTTACTGCCAAAGCGCTCAGAACCACGTGTTTCAGTTCATAACCTACAAAGTATAAATGAAATCTGAAAAGCACTGAATAATTCATTACATTATAATACCTCAGAACGTGGCTCACAAAATGAAAGCCAGAAATATTTGTACAAAACTGCTAAAATGTCTTAAACTTGCATTTTTTGATCAAATGATTTTACATGACTTGCATAATTACAGAAATCTTTTTTTTTGGTTTCAACTGTGACTGAATTATACAAAATGGAGTGATGCATTTGGCGGGGGGGGGGCGGGGTGGATGGGGGAGAAATACATTGTACCCTTTTACAATCCAGGAGAGGTAACATCTTGCTACAGATCAAGGTTACCAAGCTGGTACCCTCAGTTTGTTTTTTAGCTCTTCCATTTTAGAATAGGCTGCTCATGTGCTAGAGAGCGACATTGGTTCCTTTCAATTTCAGAGTTGAGATGGTTTCTTTCAGCATGAGTGACAGTAATGAATTAAAAGTGACAGATTTGCAACTTTAACTAAAAATGAAAACATGTAGGCTGAACTATTATTTGCACTAACTTCAACAGGAGTGTTCTGGAATGTCTTGCCATTAGGTTGGGAGACACAGCATGGCAAACCATGTCAGGGTTTCTGCAGGTAACCTGTGTGGGTGGGAACTACACCTAATCAAAGCCTGATTTATCCACATTGACATTTAGGACAAGGTGGGGATTTCTAGCATTGCTTCTTCTCAATTCTGGCCATCACAGAACTTGGCAAAGCTCAGGGAAACTAATGCTTATGTTGGGCATGGCTCCTTTTGTGAGATATAAAATGTGGCTCACCCTAGGGATCACCTCAATAACATGTGGAGAGGAAGCACAACTCGGTCTCAATTAATACCAGAGTTGCATTGAAAGATTGGATTCTTCAATTGGCAAGAATTTAGATCCGTGGTTTTCAAACTCTTCTACAGTTGCTAATCCCTTTTTTGGCAAATAGGGTTAAGGAGAATCCAAAGAGATTCTACAAATATTTTAAAGGCAAAAGATAGCTAGGGAGAGAATAGGGCCCCTTAAAGATAATCAAGGCCATCTGTGTGGAACACAGGAGATGGATGAGATACTAAATGAGTATTTTGTCAGTATTTACTGTGGAGAAGGATTTGGAAGCTAGAGAACTTGGAGAAATAAATAGGATATCTTGAAGTATCCTTTACTACAGAAGGAGGTGCTGGATATCTTAAAATGCATAAGTGGATAAATCCCTGGGACCTGCTTAAGGTATATCTCGGAACTTTGTGGGAAGCTAGGGAAAAGATTGCTGGCCCCCTTGCTGAGATTTGTATCATCAATAACCACCAGTGAGGAGCTGGAAGACTGGAGGTTGGCTATCATGGTGCCACTATTCAAGAAAGATAGTAAGGAAAAGCCAGGTCATTATAAACCAATGAGCTTGATGTTTGTGGTGGGTGAGTTGGAGATTCTGAAGGACAGGATTTACATGTATTTGGAAAAGTAAGGACTGATTATCCATAATCAATGTGGCTTTGTGCATGGAAACTGTCTCGCTAACTTGAGTTTGTTTTTGTGAAGAATTGACAAAAACATTGAAGGCAATGTGGTGGACATTATCTGTGTGAGCTTCAAGGCGTTTGACAAGGTTCTGCATGGCAGACTGGTTAGCAAAGTTAGATCGCATGGAATCCAGGGGGTGCTAGCCATTTGGATACACAATTGGCTTGAGGGTAGTAGAGGGTGGTTGTTCAGGCTGGAGGCCTGTGAGACTGGTGCTGCAAGGATTGGTGTTGGGTCCACTGCTTTTTGTCATATTTATATAAATTTGGATGTGACTATAGGAGGCATGGTTGGTAATTTTGCAGATGACACCAAAAATTCCTGTAGTGAGCAGTGAAGAAGATTATCTCCGAACAACAGGGCCTTAATCAGATGGGCCATTGGGCTGAGGAGTGGCAGATGAGTTTAATTTAGATAGCTGAGGTGTTGCATTTTGGGGAAGACAAATCTGGGGAGGACTTGTACACTTAATGGTTGGGCCCTGGGGAGTGTTGCTGAACAAAGACCTTGGGGTGCAGGTTTATAGTTCCCTGAAAGTGGAGCCGTAGGTTGACGTGGTAGTGAAGAAAGTGTTTGGTATGCTTGCCTTTATAGGTCAGTGTATGGAGTACAGGAGTTGGATGTCATGCTATGGCTGTACAGGATGTTGGTTAGGCCACTTTTAGAATACTGCTTTCAATTCTGGTCTTCCTGCTATAGGAAAGATGCTGTTTAAACTTGAAAGAGTTCAGAAAAGATTGACAAGGATGTTGCCAGGGTTGGAGGGTTTGAGCTAGAGGGAGAGGCTGAATAGGTTGGGGTGCTTTTTTGTCTTCTCCGGGAGTGTCGGAGGCCGAGGGTTGACGTTTGTAGAGGTTTATAAAACCAAGGGCAGTGGATAGGTTGAATGGCCAAGGTCATCGTCCCACAGTAAGGGGAATCCAAAACTAGAGGGCATAGGTTTAAGGTGAGAGAGGAAAGGGATCTAAGGGGCAACTTTTTCACGCAGAGGGTGATGCATGTATGGAATGAGCTGCCAGAGGAAGTGGTGGAGGCTGATATGATTATAACATTTAAAGGCATCCGGATGGGTATATGAATAGGAAGGGCTTAGATGGATGTGGGACTGGAATAATTGAGTATTTCGTCAGCATGGATGAGTGGGACCAGAAGGTCTGTTTCCCTGCTGTATAACTTTTTTTCGGACAACCCCTCCCTAAATTACGATATTATACACTTGTAAATTTCCTTGCATGCAACACCTTCACTTTAAGAAAATGGGCAACTGTACACTAATTAGGGTGAGGAAAAATGTTCACTTTTTACTGCAGGGTCAATTTATCCATAGCAAGATCCTGGAGAGGACTTTAGCCTAGGGACAGCAGAACAGGAAAAAGCACTAGGAGAGTAGGGAATAACTGGGAAGTACGCTGTAGTGAGCATGGAGAACAAAGCAAGCCTTTGGTTGCTGGTTACTCTTGAATATGGTACCCTTCACAATCCTCTACCCATGTGTTGATCCTGTATTGCAGACTCCTTGGAAGGTCTGTGCAAGAGTCCTCAGACCAAGATTGGGAACCACTGGCCTAGATGCACTAGATACGGACAGTTCTAATTTTTTTGAGAATGAATCCACCTTTCTGTGGCCCTGCAGTCTTTGGAGGCATCCCTCATCAGATCTTTGACCAGTCTTATGATTTAAAAATTAATAAACTTTAGGGGGAAACCTGCTTTGCCCAAGCACAATCTTTTAAAATTTGCATCTTTCACCCTCCGTAATCTCAAATTGTTTTCATTTGATTAAAATGAAGTTGCCCCAAGCCCAATAGTTAGTGGCATTCATTTAGTCTATTATTTGCTGTGTCTTCAATATTTTATAGATATTTTTGTTTAATCTTCCTTTTTCTCTTTAAGTCAAAATCTCTTAATGTAATCAAGCCAAACTGTTCAATTTAGAAATTCTAGTCTAATTCAATGTTTTTCACCACTGGCTAAATTTTCATTATTATTATTCACTAGCTTTGGGAAGTCTGGATGGTGAGTTTAATGGAAAATACTATGCCCTGAAGAACATGACTGACCAGGAGCAGCAGAATCTAATTGATGACCACTTCCTGTTTGACAAGCCTGTGTCTCCTCTGCTGTTGGCCTCTGGGATGGCACGTGATTGGCCTGATGGCAGAGGCATCTGGTCAGTTCTTGGAGATTGTGGAGAAATGATGAAATGCTTATTTAGTTGAAACTGTTTTAATGTGATTGAATTCTGGTTGCTGAAGCAATGTGCATTAATCGCGTTAATGAGCTGCAATGCAGGGTGGGCTTATCAGTTTCGGAAGTAAAGTTAGCCTGAGGTGCTCTTGTATTAACCAGCAGCTAATAGCTTTTCTGTTCTGATATTAGCAAGTAGCTCTACAGTTAGAAGGCTGTACAAGCAATATTGAAGTGGGAGACAGTTTGGAAGAAAGATCAGCTTTCTGCAAGGGTTTGCTGTTGAACTTTCATTTTAGATGCTTATTTTTCAATTGGTTTGCACATACATGCACTGTATGGCCATTACTCATTGTAAGATTTATTATGCAGAAGTTAATGTTTTCACAATGCAGTCTGTTTCCTCCTCTTGGTTACAAGCTTGGTTTAATTTTTTATTTCTATAGCTTAGTTGGAAAGTTGCATAGGCTTGATCACCAAATCAAGTTCCTAAATTAACCTTGCAAGTATTTATGGGTGGATTGGGTAAAAGGTGATTTTCAAAATTGGCGGGCGCTACTGCTTGTCTTCCTCCTCTCTCTCCAACTACCTGCCCACCCCCCCACCAACCAGGTTGCCCCAGTCACCCCCTCAAAAGTGTACATGGAATATATTTTTGGTTTGATCCCTAATACAATTATGTAATTTCTCCAGCTCACAATAGATTGGATAAACAAATATCAGGCTGATAAGACACCAGGATTTGAAATACAAACCAGCATGTCAAGAGAAGTAAGGATGGAAATTGTACAGGTGTTGGCTATAAGCTTCCAACATTGCTTGAATATAAGCAAGTGCCAGAAGACCAGAGACGTGTACTTTAAGAGTGTAAAAATAAATCCACAATTACAAACTAGTCTCCTTTTGCTTACAAAAGCAAGGAAATTACGATAAACCATGTAAAATGCTGGTTTGGTCTCATTGACATATTTGTATTTTTTTTTAGGTACTACACTTGAGTCACGGGATGTGAGCCTTGCTGATGAGATCAGCATTTATTGTCCATCAATATCCCTTAGTATCCAAGCCAACCACATTGTTGGTCTGGGGTCATGTGTAGCTAGCCAAGACTAGGTAATGATAGCAGATTTCCTTCCCTAAAAAGATATTTGAGAACCAGATAGATGTTCACAATATTTGAGTAGTTTTGTGGTCACTATTGTGACTAACTTTCATTCTCAGTTTGTTGTTTTGCTTTTTTTAAATGAAATACAATTAAATCTCCAACTACCCTAGCAGGAATCAAATCCATTTCCTCAGACATTACTGAGGGCTTCCAGATTATCTGTCGAGTGACATCACTATATTGATGTCTGAAGGACATAAATGCATTGGAGAGGGAACTGAAAATGACTGATTGTAGGATGAGCAATGTCAGTTGTACAGTTACATTGGAGAAGCTGCAGCTGCTCTCAATGATGAGAATGCCGAAAGGCAATTTGATTTGAGGTGCTCAAAATTATGGAGCTTGGTCAGCAGATGGGCAGAAGTGATTCCATTGGCTGAAGGGTTGAAAACCAGAAGATACCAGTTTTAAGCTGATACACAAGGTTTTAAAAATGTTTTTAGGCTGCAAGTGGCTAGGATCTGAAATACTTAGGGGATGGTGGATACAAATTTAATTGTAGCTTCTAAAAGGAAATTGGACCATTGTGAAACAAAATTAGCAGGGCTACAGGGAAAAGACAGATAAATGGGACTAGCCCAGTAACTCCTGCAAACAGCTGGCATGAATGTGATGGGTCAAATGTAATAATTCTAGTTTGAGTTCTTGTCAAAAGCACAATATTTAGTTGTGATCGTACATTGGCACTGACTCTAATAAATTTAAAGATACTGATTGATTCCATGTTAAACTCACTTTTCTGTTTTCTAGGCACAATGACAACAAGACTTTCCTAGTTTGGGTAAATGAAGAAGATCACCTTCGAGTCATTTCCATGCAGAAGGGTGGAAATATGAAAGAAGTCTTCACTCGTTTCTGTACAGGACTAACAAAGGTACAAATCCGCTCCATTTGGGTTGGTAGAGGTCAAAAGATTGGTTTTTCTTTTCAATACTTTTTTCTAATTCTCAAATTCTAGATTGAAAATGTCTTCAAAAACAACGGTCGTGCATTTATGTGGAATGAACACCTTGGCTACGTCCTGACATGCCCCTCTAACTTGGGAACAGGTCTCCGTGCTGGTGTCCATGTGAAGCTGCCCAATCTCAGCAAACATGATAAATTTGGTGATATTCTGAAAAAGCTGCGACTGCAGAAGCGTGGTACAGGTAGGTTAAATCTTAACTAGAAAGCACATTGTAGCAGTAAAGTGCCAGACAGATTATCCAGTGTGAACTGACCAATTGTAAGAATATGGAACAATTGAATTATTCTTCAAGTAACTCTTGCCATCCGTCATAATGGTAGAAGCTATGCTCTAGAATTTCTTGTGGCTAAGACTCTAAAGCTGTAAACGCAACATTTGCCAGCAACTGCGACAACAAATTCTATGATTCTGACTCTACTGCACTGGTGATCGTTTCAATATTTCATAGTTCACTGATGTTCCTTCTTTATGACCTTATCTACGTTTTCTTTCTCAAGGTGGATTGAATACATGGCTTGAGTCTGGATTATGGACATCTCCTCCTCCATGGGGCTAGGTGTCAAGGGTTAACTTTGCCCTATACCAACTCTGAAATGGGTGTTTCCTTCCCTCTTTGTCTTGGTGATGTGTGACACTACCCACAAAAAGTCATGCATCACCACTAAAATAAAACTCTGAACTGGAGCTCTGAATAAAATAGATTGTGGGGGAAAAATCAGCAAGTTTGGTAGCATCTGCTTCAGAACCAGTTCTGAAGAAAGTTCACTTCACTGGATACCATGTTAACTGTTTGTCTCCACAGATGCTACCAGATCTACTGAGTTTCTCCAGTTTGTTGTTTTTAATATTGTTTCTTTTTCTTGCATTGTCACTTCCTGGTTTCCTGGCAGCATTCATTTCATTTTGTTTCTGATTTGCTGTTTCAGCTACATTTTTAATCCACAATGATGAGACAGAGTGGCTATGATGAGGGCTAACCACTGACAATGTGGCTGATAACTTCTGTGCACAATCAACATAAACATGCACTATAGGAAATAAAATGTGATCAAATTATAACATTGACATGCTGAAGTAATGCTTTCAGTGCCTAAACCACTCTGGGAGATTTCTGCAGGGCATGTCAAGATCTCTGGTGCTTTGCATGCTACACAAAATCCCAGTGTCACAAGGGCACTGCTTTTTAGCACATACTACACAGTGAGGTTGATGGAGATGCTGGAATATAGTCAGCACTTTTTTAAATGGCTAGGCTGTCCATAATCTTCAATTCAATACCATGAATCCTTAATCTCCACTTAACATTCCCACATCTTGCCTACCCTCTGTCACTGGTCACTACAACATTTTTTTTTTGACCTCTCCCCTAATTTCCTCTAAGCAATGATGTTCTGTTGCTGCATTATGGATGTTGGAAGGCTGCTAACAGTCCATGATAAAAGACACTCTCTCTAGATGGGTTTGGAAGATCGCCAAGTAACTCTGTCTACAAGGCCTGAGAGCTGCACCATCTTGGCTGGGCATCAACAGTGTGGTCACTGGTTGAGTGGTGGTATGAAGATGAAAGCTACCTTCGTGAAGACAACTAGCCTTTTGAGTTATGGTCCTCTGTCACATGTCCAGAGCAGTATCGTTACCATCTTAGGAAGCAACTTGCTCTACTGCCAGGACCCTGCAAGCCTTGTTGAACACTTAGTTGCAGCCTTGATGTTATCATGCAAGATCAGACTTGAACCAGATAAACGCTGTGAGTTCAAGTTCTGCTCCAGGATCTGATGGCCAAGGAACATGCATCATAACATTAATCAAATCAGTTGAGCATCAATCTGCAAATATTTCTAATGCCTGCTAATTGCAGGCAATAGGAGAAGGAGATTCCAGGTCAGCCATGTGATAGGCATGCAGTAGTGATGTTGGCTGTCATGTGCAATATTCTAGGTAAGTGTGGAGCTGGAGGAACACAGCAGGCCAGGCAGCATTGAAGGAGCAGGAAAGTTTCAGGTCGGGACCCTCCTTCAGAATTTGAATTCCCAAATGTGCTCGTGGAGTTGGCCACTGCTCCTAGACTGGATCAAATGGGTTCCAAGCTGTTTAAAAGCCCTGTGTCAAGTTGGTGGCCGACTCTTTCTTTCTTGCTCCTGGACATTGTCCAGATTCCATTTAGCAGGCTTCTTGAAACATCAAGTACTTTGTGCAAATCCATCAGCCTTGTGCTGTAGCCTGCTGTTCACCTTATTTCTCTGCAGCCTAGCTTGAGTGCAATGTTTGTTTTCTGGCGTATTGGCACCTGTGACCTCCTTTTATTGCATTCTGACTGTAAGCTACTTGCATGTACATCCCACCTCTGTGCCATGCTTTAAGCTGTGACCAATATCTGTGCCTGATTGTGAAATCAAGTCCACTGTCTCGTGATTTCTTCTGAGACAAGATGTGGAAGGGATCTGGGTGGTGGAATAAACTTGTAATTTGGAGTGTGATGTGAAACTTGGAGAATTAGATATGAGCTGCCATCTTCAATGTTATCATTCAATCCTACTGGAAACTGCCTCATCATGCCCTTCTGAAAGGGCCAAATAAGCAAATGCTAATAACTGTCCGGCCTAATCGTTTGTCATAGAAATCCCTTTTTTTATTTTTTTTCTCTTTCTTCGCAAAGCCAAAATGTTGTTCTACTCTATTGTTGTCATTTTCTTATTTTTTAACTTTTTGCATTTGTAAGGAATAATACACTACTTTCTATCCAGAGATATGTTAAATTGAATGTATATTCTGGTCCTTGTTCACTTTCCCAGCACCTCTTTGCACCACCCCACATTAAATTGTATGTCTGATCTTGAATTTCCTTGTTGGACATTATTTTTGATCCCTGTTGTGTAGTACAGTCTACTGTACTCACATCAAGAAACATGTATTACTTTTTGATCCCTTTCTTAATCAACCAATTTTCTCATCCCTTCCTGTTGCTGTTGTACTGTTTCAATGTTTGTTTGCCAGTATGTTGCACAGGAGACTTATGACAATCATATACATGTTGCATGCATTTCTACATTAGTAATTTCATGTCAATGAAGCATGCTGGCTGTCCTTGACTATCCATGCATTTTTAAATTCTTAATTTTATGGCCAGATAAGGATTCCAAATTTATTGGCAACTGATTCTACAATACTGATATGGTGAAATTAATTTGCAAGATTCTGCAATTGCTGCAGAATGTTTTCTGAGACTGTTGAAGTATGAACTGAGCACTCTGGTAAACTTTGACCTTTTTTTGATTTTTGCATGGTTACCTTTGAATGGTATGCTGGCCTCTGGCTGAAGAAGGTATAACATTCACTCACTTCTAAATTTAGATAGGTACCTCAACTTCTTGTATGGAGCCTGGTTAAGAAATAATTGGTGGGGAGAATCCAGATTTAATTTTTATTTAAATGGCGAGTCAGGGATAGGCCTCTGTACCCATCTTAACAGTACATCTAAAGGAGCTGAACCTTGCAAAGTAAGACAACCAGATGCATGAGTTTTAGCTTGCAGTGTTTCTCACTCTTCCTCACCCTGACTAAATGTCAGGAAGAGTGCCTATCCAGGTGCATGAGACTATTTTCCCCTTTCCTTGGGAGGAAGTCCCATTTGCAAGCTGCCAGGCAATCTGTGCCAGCAAGTCTGCAGTCCAGCACTCTACTGAGAGTAGTAGTCACTGCTTGGACCATGTGTTCCCCATTGCTTGGGATTGGAGGCTGGGTTCAAGAGGCGAGGCAGAGAATTAAAGACGTTAGTGGGGTGAAAGTGACCTTGTCGAAAGGGAGTGGCTCTGGTGACTCCAAAGAATATCCACTGTGCTCACCTGCTGGGCCTCCACATGGCAGTGATCTTTTTCACTACAGGCAAAATAGGTCGTGGTATGAGTCCTGTGTGATCATTCAGTGAGGCATTTGAAGGGCCTTAGTTTGTCTGCTATAGAGCCTATTATCTAGCACCTTCCTGTGAGGTCAGAAGAAGCAAGTAGGTGCTGGAAAAGCTAGCTGCTGAACTGTATGCCAGTGCCTTTACCCCTTCTGGTGAGAGGATAAAATCCAGCCCTACTATGCAGGTCACATTTAATTCTTTCAGAGTATTTTCTAATGTCTTTAGACAATTGCCTAGCTTGCTAGCACTCAGATGGGGGTGGGAGATCTACAAATAAAATGCTCAAAGGGAAGAACAAATACATAACATGATGAATGAAAGTTCATCTATTTGTTTAGTTGGGATTGACACTAGTTCAGAACTGAGCCAGTTTTATAAAGCATTTTGTAAATGGCTTGGAAACACCCTTACTTTCTGCATTGGTATTGGACACTTCTTAGACCTTGGTTCTGAGGAAGGGTCACTGGACCTGAAATGTTAACTGTTTTCTCCTTCACAGATGCTGCCAGACCTGCTGAGCTTTTCCAGCAACTTCTTTTTTGTTTTTGTTCCTGATTTACAGCATCCACAGTTCTTTTGGTTTTTATTGGTTATCATCCTTTCTGGGAGAGATCTGATTTGCCTACTGGGCCAAATGTGGATTCTGTTGAATAAACTTTAAACCAGTCTTGATTTGACATTCTTCTTCCTCCCTGAAGAGCTAGTGCGTTGAGTTTTCTGCCATCGTAAGCACTGTCACAAGATTAAAACATGATTCATTTCAGACTGCATTCAGATATTGGAAAATTACTGAAGCTAAAATTTAATCTTCTCTTTTCGACATGCTATATTTCCATGACACAGCTCAGCTTGTTTATTCTAATGGAGCTGTTTCAAGAAAAACTTTGACAAAAAGCTTTTGTGGATGTGTTGCTTTTGCAATTTGCCTTTGAAATTTGCTATACTTTAAAAGGAACTTGGTGTAATCTAAAACACTTTTTTTTTTTTAATTGTAATTTGGTAACTAATCCCCACTTTTTTTTTTGCTGCTTGTCTGTCTGTCTTGGAATGTGAATATTCCAATGTAATTCAATGACTTTACTTGAAAGGGACAACTCCTGTCTTTTGGACAATTGGATTGTGGTATTGCATTACAACTCTAACTTAATAGTATTAATGCAACTAATGTTTAGATGTTTATTGCTTTCTCCATTGCTAGGTGGTGTTGATACTGCTGCAGTTGGTGGTGTGTTTGATATTTCCAATGCTGATCGTCTGGGTTTCTCTGAAGTCGAATTGGTTCAAATGGTGGTCGATGGTGTGAAGCTGCTAATTGAAATGGAGAAACGCCTTGAAAAGAGTCAGGCTATCAATGATCTTATCCCAGCTCAGAAGTAAAGTCACTTTATCGCACAACTTCTAAACTATTCACTGGATATATTGTATAATATTATGAAAACCTCCAAGATGCCAGTCTGGATTGGGGAGAAGTGTTGTCTTTAGCAAAATATCTTCCATAAATGTAGTAATCTTCAAATTATAATCACTGCATTGTTATTGTGATGGATTAAAATGAATAAATATACTTTGGTCCTTACAAATGAGTGCATAGTAATTTTCTTAGAATCTTGCTTAAGCCTGTCTGTGGGCTAGCTATTGTAGCTTGCATTTTTACTGCTTTGGTGGTTTCAGAATCTAAGTTGTTTCCTGTCTAAACTCTACTTGTATCAGGTCTATTCAAACATTAATATACAATTGAACCTTTTTTGAACTTTGTATTTGGAGTAATTTGTAATATTGACATTAGATTTCTTTTGCATCATATTGAACTTATGAAACAAATAGGCCGTTGTTCCAATGATCAATGGCTGTGTTATGCTCCACACAAGCCTTCTGTCGTCCTACCTCAACTAAAATAATCAGTCCAACCTTCTAATCCTTTTTCTGCCTTGTGGTTACCTAACTTTCCCTTAAATGCATTTTATGCTGTTTCTCTCAGCTACTCCTTGTGAGAGAATGTTATTCTGCTTAGAATATGAAACTAACATTCTCCTTCCATTCCTTTTTAACAAGTATGATCACTTTAGTTTTGAATTTCCTAAAGAGTCCAAAACTAGAGGATATAGGTTTACGGTGAGAAGGGAAAGGTTTTATAAAAATAACTTTTCCACACAGAGGGTGGTACGTGTATGGAACAAGCTGCCAGAGGAAATAGTGGTGGGTACACTTGCCTATCCAGATGCCTTTTAAATGTTATGAATAGAAAGGGGTTTAGAGGGATATGGGCCAAATGCTGGCATACGGCACTAAGTCAGAATCAAATGTTGGGTCTGCACAGATGATTTGGACTGAAGGGTCTGTTTTCATTCTATATGACTTCATTGATGTAGCAACTTTTGTATGGACAACTAAAAATTTACATTTGTTAAGTTTTTAACTTTTTTTTTTTTTTGCATACACTTCTTCCTTTTCCTACCCCCCTCCCTCACTATTACTCAAACAATTTCAAGATGAGTGTTGCGTTTTTGTCAAAACCATGTGGTCTCCTGTAGATTGGTCTTTTTAATAATCGCCTGTCTCTATGTAGATGCATCCTTGCTAGCTGTAGCACGATAGTGCACCTTCATCACGATCAGGTTGTCTGCTTGAACTAATGCAATTATCAATTACTATACTTTGAATATAGACCAGTGAAGTACTGAGTTGAAAATAATTTTAAGTAGCTCAACCTCTGCCTTGAGGAAACTTGAGAGATTTCCTCTGGTTGAAACGATGACTTAAATCTTAACACTATTTACACTTACTACTATTTCTTATGTGTTTTAAAGCCAATTCTCCTCTTATGCCATCAATATTCTTGCAAAAAATACAGATCCAGGAAATCTTGTTAGAGCTGCCTTTCACTAGGACCTGACAACTACATTCACCTCCATTTAAAATTTGCATGCTTTTACAGTTTTCACATTCAAGCAGTTTGCAATATCGACAGGCTTGTATTAAATTTAAGTTGGGGGTGGTGGGGGGGAGTCTCTTGCAAGTTTATAACTCCTAAACTCCAAGTTTTGTGGTTAATTGCTTTAATGCATTGTATTTTGAAGTATTGATTAAAGGTCTGGTATTAATAATGGTTTTTCATAATTTCAAATCATTCTTTGTCTATTGTGGATATGACATGATAAGCACACACTTGCAATATCTTTAAATTTTGAATCCGGCTATATCTAAGAGGATACAAGGATTGAACATGCTACAGTAATTTGAACATAAACAGAATTTCACCCTATCTGACTTGGAAAGGGAAGAGTCAAAACTCTAAGCTTGGTAAATTTTATCATGTCTTACCAAATGGACAAACATTTCTGCTAACATTAATTATCTCAATACCTATAACCTTGATCAGCTTTCAAATCCTGCATGCGGCTATGTCCTAAAGCAGCTAAGAACACTTTTTCCTCCCCCCAGATTCGTCTCGCAAAAAAAGCATGCAAGTAACTCTGGAAATTTCAACAAACTATTATATTTTTGCACAGACAAATGCTGCTACTATCATTGCAAATGACAGACTAAATAAGTATCTTGGATTATGGTCTTTGCCAAAGTTGGAAGCATGTTTCCCTGGTGCTATTTAATTTGTTCCTGTGTCTATGCTGTTTGTGCACCATTTATTATCTTACAGTTCTTCTGCCAGTTGTATTGTCTGTTCAGTCTATGCACTCATGGAAAGTGGGCATTATGGACATGGCTAGTGTAAATTGACCTCTAACTGAATGAATGACTTTCTATGCCATTTCAAGAGGGCCATTGAGTCAACCAGATCTCTCTGCGTCTGGAGTTAGTCAGATGAGGAAAGGACAGCAAATTTCCTTCCCTAAAGAAAACTGGTGAAATTGAATATTGTGACAGTTCAGTAGTTTCATGGTCATCATTGCTAATACTAAATTTTTTGCATCAGATTTTTTCTTAATTGAATTTAAATTCTCTAACTGCTATTGGATTAAGTCCAGTAGTAACAACTGCTTTGCTAGTAAACCCATGCCATTACTGCTGCAAGATTGTGGATTTTGAATGTTTACTTCCAATAGAGGACGTTACGGAAAAGAACAGGAAAATGGAATTGATGTAGAAATTTAGCTGTCATCTTACTGAATGGTGCAGTGAGATTGAGGATCTATATGACCTACTCCTCCACATTCTGAAATGTTAGATACTGGCAACCAGCTACTGCTGTACAACAAAATGGTGATTTGTTCAACACTTTTAACCAATGAGTGTTGGATCAAAAATACAATTAAGTAAATACACTAACAAAGCTAGTAATTGCTGGAGAAATTCAGCAGGTCTGGCAGCATATGTGATGAAAGAGTGAACATTGAGTTCAATATGACTTCTCAAATCAAGTTTTGAGTGATATAGGAGGAATGGTTAGTAAGTTTGCAGATTACATCAAAATTGGTGGTGTAGTGAACAGCGAAGAAGGTTATCTCAGAGTACAACAGGACACTGATCAGATGGGCTGAGGAGTGGTAGAGGATTTTAATTTAGATAAACAATGAGGTATTGCATTTTGGTAAGACAAATCAGGGCTGAACTTGTACACTTGATGGTAGGGACCTGGGAGTGTTGCCAAACAAAGAGACGTAGGGGTGCAGGTTTATAATTCCTTAAAGGTGGAGTCACAGGTAGACAGGATTGTGAAGAAGGTGTTTGGAACACTTGCCTTTATTGGTCAGTGCATTGAGTATAGGAACAAAAACAGCAAGTGTGAAGAAGAAATAAAATCAGAGTTAATGTTTCGGGTCCAGTGACCTGAGCAAGGGCCACTGGACCCGAAATATTAACTCTGATTTTCTCTTCACAGATGCTGCCAGACCTGCTGAGCTTTCCCAATAACTTCTGTTTTTGTTCCTGATTTACAGCATCCGCAGTTCTTTTGGTTTTCATTGTATATAGGAGTTGGGGGAGAGGGGGTTCATGTTGCAGATGTACAGGACATTGGTTAGGCCACTTTTGGAATATTGCATTCAATTCTGGTCTCCCTACTACAGAAAAGATGTCATTAAACTTGAAAGGATGCGGAAAAGATTTACAAGGATGTTGCTGAGTTTGCAGGGTTTGAGCTACAGGAAGAGGCTGGGGCTGTTTTTCCTCGAGTGTCAGATGTTTAAAGAATGACCTTAGAGATTTATAAAATCATGAGGGGCATGATTAGAATGAACAGCCAAGGTCTTTTTCCCATTGTAGGGAAACTAAAACTTGAGGGCATAGGTTTAAAGTGAGAGGAAAAAGATATAAAAGAAGACCTAAAGGGCAACTTTTTCACGTAGAGGGTAGTGCATGTGTGGAACGAGCTGCCAGAGGAAGTGTGGAGGCTGGCGCAGTAACAACGTATCAAAGGCATCAGGATGGGTACATGAGTAGGAAGGGTCTTAGAGGGATATGGGCCAAAAGCTGGCAAATGGGACTAGACTAATTTACGATATCTGATCAGCATAGGCGAGTTGGAGCGAAGGATCTGTTTCAATGCTATACAACTCTATGATTCTATAAGTCATGTCAGACTTAAAAAATTATTAATTCTGGTACCCTCTCCATGGATGTTACCAGACCTCCTGAGTTTCTTCAGTGTTTTCTGTTTGTTCGGATTTCCAGCATCTGCAGTATTTTGCTCTTATGAGAATATGCACTATCTAATTGTAACAGATCTTGTACAGAGGATCTGGCAGAGCTAGCGAATCAGTGAAAGTCACAAGGGTATTGCTAAAGACTGAATTGTTGATAGATTACAGAAACTGTAGAGATATAACTATTGCCTTCAGAATGAATCCAGATGTATTTCAAAAAAAAATCTGAATTAAGTTAACTGACTTTTATACTTAAGCTATTTATGTATTTAAACATTGAGCTTGACTTTCATTGTGTTGACCACAGGTACTGAAGTACATTTTCAGTAACAAGTAGATACTTCCTTATATTTGCAGCTAATTCACTGTGCAAATTTATATGTCAACAAATTGGGTTCTCTTCCCAAACACACATGGGCTAATAATAAAAATTAATTTGAAACCTGGGACCTTTGTAATAAATTGTTTAGGCACTGCAGATCATCTCTGTTGGGGTTGTCATCTATGGAAACAACTTTTGTATGGCTATCAATGTTTGTATGCCCAGTAGCCAGTTCCATTTTCTCAATTTGGGGAAAAATTTAGGTCTGTTTCAATTTACAAACTTAAAAAGCACCCCTGAACATTCGGGCAGCATTTCAACAGGATTTTGGAGTAGATCTGTAGCTCGGGTTGTGGGTGTTGAGGTTGGTTGGCTCACCGAGCTGGTTTGTTGTTTCGCAGACGTTTCATTACGGTGCTTGGTAACATCCTCAGTGCAGCCTTTGATGAAGCGTCGGTGTGTTTTCCCGCCTGGTTTTTAAACTCTGGGGTCCGTTGCGATGGATTGCCTCACTTCCAGGTTTCCTCCGTAGTGGAATGTATATGGGGTTGAGTTCAATGTGTTTATTAATAGCATGCTTCGTGGAGTGCCATGCTTCCAGGAATTCTCGTGCTTGTCTCTGCCTAGCCTGTCCCAGGATCTTGGTGTTGTCCC